GGGCTACATTCCTACCACGTTTGTACGATACACACAGCACAAGGAGATACAAATGGAGCAGGAGTTAATTAACTGAATACGAGAAGCTGTTTGATAAGAGTGGATAATAAGGAGATTACACAGGCACTAGCTTGTTTGGAGTTAACCATTCAAATGTTTGGTGTTGTAGGGTTTATTTATAAACACCCATATTCGAGATTATGAGAACAGGTTGATATTTCGTCAACAAATCTTGTTGAATTTACCGTTTATCCTTGTCTATCTTATTGACAGTCTGTATAATTCCATGGTTACCGGAGTTTTAAATAATTACGAAGCCACAGGTATTTGCGCAATGTTAATTAGGCAGATTATATTGAAAAACATTGCTGCCGTATTTCTGATATAGTTTTTTGCAAATTTCTCAGTTTTTAATAACAATTAATTTATTTTACTATTTTTTATGTAGTCCTATAACAGCGCCAGACAACACCTCCAGAGGAATAACGCCAATTTTGAATTACCCTGTATATATCACTATATTGAGAAAAAAATTGAAAAAGTGGATAGCGGGCACTTAACAGATTTAACTTATGTATTGTAAACGAGAAAAATGTTCTTTTCGGGAGCGAGTCTCACACTTTGTTGCCTCCGGAAATACCCTCCAGAGCAAGTACATTTCTGAATAATTCTGTTTACGGTATAAAATAGATAACACATCAATAAAGCATTTGGTTTCAGAGACAGATTGGAAGAACCCGGTATATATTCTGATATTAACAATCTGGGAAAGCTGAATGCTTTTCCTCAATATACCCACATAGATTTTTCAGCTTAGCGATAACAGGAGTGGAAGATATATTCCTAAACTTTATCCCATTTATGAAATTAATTCCCGAAGTTTGCCGAGGACCTGAATTTCTATTATCGTGGCGAAATTTACATAAAACTCATTTAGAAAGACAATAGTTGATTACATGTCGTCGGAAACCATAACTGGATTTTGTGGTGCGAAACGGGATCTGATTTCATTATTGCATTTAATAAAATAGACCACTTCTCTTCGTAATCTCTGCTAGGCTGCCATTATTGGTTTGTTGCTTTTGGAGTTTCCAATTAGAATTTTATATGTAGTTTGCCTAATTTATTAATAGAAGGAACCTTACAAACAATGCGAAATTAACACGAAGTACAAAGCAGAATAAAATTGAAATAAAAACTTAGCAGTAGTACTATAGAACAATTAATCTCAGGCTAAAAATTAAAAGCACTACCGGAACTTTTAATTAATAAAAACGTCGTTATGACTGAAATAATATTCGCTCTCTTCCACTGCTAAATATCCAATTACGTTCCAGAGGTCTAACGTTAAAAAACAGGGGAAAATCTTAAAAACTCATTTACGAGCAAGGCGAACTTTTATATTCCTAATAAAATTAATGAGTTCATATTCTTTCCTAGAGTTTTAATTTAATGGACAGGACTTTGCTTTTAAAAAATAAAGTTTGTTGCATTATAATGGAATTTTCATGTTAAGACTTGAATTGGGCTTTCAAACTTTCGTCACAAATAAGAGTACAGTTTAATACCTTATTAGAGCAACTCTGTTTTGGACTGTTGGGACTGGTTATTTTTTGCATTATACGCAAACAAACAACGTTTTCGTCTACCGTCTCAAAGTATTTCATTCTCATGTCTTAGTGTCTAGAGTCGTCGACTCAGTTACTTCTGTTTTATTCTATACAAATCAAAATTTAGCATCAGCGTCACTAGAGTGCAGTGAAGCATCACTAGCGAACTGAACAAAGCACGTTCTAGATATTTTGCTACATAAAGAGTGAGTTTAATTAGATTCACTGACGTCTAGTTCAATTATTGAAAATATATTGTAGTAAACTAGTTCACTGCCTAATAACCGTAATTTGTTAAGCCGCTTTGCGACATGTAGGTAGTTAAAGAAATCAGTTAAGCTGAAAATAGACCCAACTTGCGACTGGTATTAAAAATGCATTACATCTTCATTAAATTGGCAACATAAATTAAACTGAAATCTTTCAGACCGGAACATCCGACGTCAACGCAGTTTCGGAGTTATTATGCACTCGGACATACCATCGGCACAAGAATAGCTAATGCCCTAACATGGCCATCAATCATAACGTATTCATGTCGACAGTGTCTGGCGTTTATTTAATTAAAATTTAATATAGATTGAGGATCTTATTTTTGTAATAAACTCGCTGTATTGGAAACCACGTAGACTGTGACTGACGAGGCGATCGGCAAGCTAGTTTGCATTCATCTTGAATGTTAAAAAACCAAGACCGCATTGAAGGAAACAATGCCAAACAAAGATAAACAGGTTTCAGTAGGACAATACAGAATTGAACCAAACGAGAAAAAACATATCGTCCAAATTCACTATACACTGGATTCATCTGATAAAATTGGCGGTATTTAAATCGTGCATTATATTTATATACCGCATTGTTTATAATGTTTACTGTCTGTACATTTCAAAATAATTCGTACTATGTAGATTGCAGAACCTTAATTTATTCTGGTCTTATTTTAATAAGCAAAGTGATTTACACAATAAATAAATTATGTATAATTAGATAATATCAACTAGCAAGAGTGTTTTAACTACAGCAAAGCGGATTCAAATTGAGCAAATACTCTAATAGTACAATGAATTTCTCTGAGGGCTCACCGGGAAAGGCAACCAACATTAAATAAATTTCGTTTTTACCCTGATTTCGTCAAAATTTTACAAATAGATTATTAGTAGTTTTTCTATTCAAGACTTATAGTACAGTTCCTTTTCAAATAGCACTACTATACAGCATGTTCCGTTAGGATGCAATGGCTTGACGTCTAGACCGTTAGATATAAGTGAAAAATGAAAATATCGTGGTTTTTACATTTTGTGATCAACATTTTCGCTATGTTCTTTTGTGCGTAAATTCGGAAAGAAAGTTAATTTCAGTATTAGTTTCCCTCGCTTTCTCCAAAAATACACACTATGTCCGCTAAATCACCAATTTCCTGACCGGATCTAGAATCAGGGACAAGCAGTTCGAGAATTTCCCTAAATTCTTCTTAATTTCTTAAACTATCTGATAAAGAAGGCCTAAAATACACAGAAAAAGATGGCAAATAAATGTGGCTAGAAAACAAATTTTAGTGTTGTTTGAAACATTTGAACTTTCATAATTCGAAGAACACACACCTGAGCAGGTTTGAAGCAATAAAACTTTACAGTCAAGGGAAGAAGGTCAATTTCTTCCTTTAATAGCCGACCAGAGAAGCAGGTTGCTATCTTTTACCGTTTCTAAAAAATTGAATTTTCAAAATATTCTTTGCAACTGTTGGCAAGAAAATTAAAATTGTCGGGAAACAATAGAAGCAGTGGGGTATCAAATGATTGGAAACTTAATGGAGATTAAGAAAAGGGAAAATTTGAATGTGCTACTAAAAAAACCAAAGTAAACGACGGAAGCGATTTTATAAGACTTTTAGTGTAGTGGAAAATAAATTGAGGTAACATTGCCAAATTAAAGAGCCACAGCAATTTTATTTTTTGCCAATCTCGAACCGTTTAGAATTAATGAAGCCATTTCATACCAATGGGACACCCTGTATAGCGGGCTGGGATCGAAAACTCAAAAATTCAATTGATTCGTAAAATCTAGTAATACTATTGGCCTTCTTTGCGAATACTTTCGGTAAAATGCGCTAGCGTCTGAGGACATTACGCTTTCAATAATTGCAATAGTTAAATTCGAATGTTTTAGCTTATATTCTTATTTACTTTGATGCTTTATATTCCAATACTTTATTCACAATTGAAACTTTGGAGAGTAAGTTTTGTACTCATGACCTCAAAAATGAGACACTTTATTTGCTCCTTTCCTCCAGGAGTTCTACTGGTTCTGGCTGGCTCAATTGAATATTGTACTGGAGGTCACGTTGTCTTAACTCTTATTTCTAAATTATTTACATTTAATTTCTGAGAAATGATAAATTAGAAAATACGGATTCAAAAATAAAAAGCGGCAGCACCTCCTAAACAATACAAAGATGCTACCGACTATTAATGGGTTGGAGTTTTTTCATATGGTTGTACGATGATGTTGTGCATTGTTTTCCTTTAAGATTTCGAGATCTTCTAATTACTCAAGGAGCGCAAAAGCAATTGTGGCTTAGACAATATTAACCAGCAGCCACGGCCAATAAATGGATGTTTAATTATAGATATTTGCGGTTAGTTTTTAAATTGTGCTCTTCAAAACTTAGAATGCACATCTACTTTTCCCAAGAAAATTTAGGACTTCTCCAAAGAAGTCCTAAATCGGACAAATCTTAGAGATAATGCACACACCAGAGCACTGTGCTATTTTCAAGTGACATGTTTCTCTTGAAAAGTGAAAGTTGCCAGCGAAAGTGCCTGCTACTAGTACTCTGATTGCCAAACTCGTACTGCCAGTACTCTTGGAAAAGTCTGAAGTAACTCTTCATGGAATAATAGCTAAAGCATTTGCGTATATTATCCAAAGCCGAATTTTAAAAAAGGACGCAACAAATAAGAGTTGAAGAAGGGCTTCAGGTGTACTTTTCTCACAGATCATTTTCCAGATTTTTCAAGATGAGCAGTTCTGTGATAAATTGTGCAGATGTGGGAAAACTCATGCTATGAGTGCCGCATAGGACTCGAAATTTTCAAATTAAAAACTATAATGGAAGTGTATTCTTCTAACTAATATTAAATTTTCCGTTAAACATTCGCAACTCTTAATCCAAATTTCATTAATTTCAATGCAACTCCCTTCATTAATAATTTACCTACATACCCATATATTCCAATTGGTCAAAAATCAATAGCACCAAATAGTTTAATCCCACGACAGTCGGTATCTTTTGTCTGAAATTATACCCGTTTCTATGCAGATGGTTGAAACAGTTTTCCACCAACATTCCAATTTATCGATATGTTTTTTTCACCATAAGTTCGAACTTACCTTCAAAAACCTGGAGGGTCGCCTCAGCACTAACGGCATCCCCAACGCCATTCTCAGCTACACATTCGTACATAGCATCATCTCGACCCGCCTTAACGGGATCGATTCTCAGCAGTGCCCCACCATCAGGAAAATCTTTCACTTGGTACCGAGTCTGAGAACCTGCAATATATTGATATAAGCACATTTGTGGCATGCAATTATAAAACGCGTCTAGCAACAATGTTATTCACGTGTTTGAGGAAACAAGGCCACAGAAGCAGTGAAACGATTAAACAGCCATAAACCTTACATATTGCTTTATTCATCTGGGAAATTACGCTTTCTTTTCCTTCGTTTAAATTTTCCGCTTTTTCTCCCTAGAAAACTGCAAATAGTGACGTCTCAGGAAACAACGGTCTTCCATCCACATAGTGGGATTAACCGTTCTTTAGGATGGTTTTATTTTCTGCTGTCGCGACCGCTTAAATGCGTTCTTTGGATTTACGACCGGTTAGGACGTGACTTTATATTCATTTTTAATTTCGAATGCTTGTAATATATGTGAAACATGGAGATCTTAAATAGAAACATTCATTCGTTAAGCACATGTAAGGTTTCCAGTAAATCCGCAATAATACCCGCTACAGTGTGTATCACTTATAATGGAAAAACTCTTGTATTTTATTTATATTTAGTAGCTTATCTAGAACGTCATGAGCTTAATTGTTTCGGGTGCTCTTTTCTAACTTCAGATCATCCCAGCCTCTTACGAATTTGCGAATAGGAACAATTTTCTATATTTTGAGATGAGATTTTCTATCTTAAGTTTCGATCATCTACACACTGTAGTTTCTTGACCAATCGCAGGATTTTATGATTGAAATAAACTTACCTGATACTTTTTTGCCATTCTTCCTCCATTGAATTTGCGGCTTTGGATGTGCTTTCGCTTGACAATAAAACCCTGCTACACCCCCAGCTTTAACTTGCTGGTTTCTCGGCTTGGTAACAATTTCGGGAGGATCTGAAACCAATACTTCCAATTAGATACAGATAAGGATTCTGAAATATAATGCGCTTATTTAATTCAATCAAATTTTCATCTGTGTTGGAATGTCCATTACTAATCCTGCTTTACATTAGTGCTATTTTCAGCCATTGCCAACTTGAACATATTCAAGGCTGGCTTTCCATAAAATACTCTTATTGGCAAGTTATTGATTTTAGAGTTCGCTAGAGCATATTTACCAAGAAATATTTTACGCTATTTAAATTCCAGCAGAAGGTTGTCTTATGCAAATGAAATCAAACAGGTTTCCCGTATTATTCGTGCTAAAATTCCGAGAAATTGTCTGATTTTAGGGTTGGCATTCGGATACGAAACAAATTACGCAATACAATCGTTCGAATTGCAAATGAGACATTAACCGGTCCCCTGTTTTTGATGAATTGCCGCGAAAAATACATTTTTGATGTAAATGATCACAAGTTCATTAATATTTCGGCTTCTCCCTGTGCTACTTCGGATCTAAAAAGTCCATTAATTTGATACAAAAAATGAGGGAATCATTTTCGCTATCCTAAATATTTATTCTGAAAAAGAGACCAATTTCTTATTCAACGTCTTTCAACGCATGCGAAAAATTGTACGGACGAAGGGTGCAATAATGCAGAAATGCCAACAAGTGACCCAACATTCCACCCGAACCAGACTAAAAATATTCATCAGCAGTTTTGTAATTTCCTGAACTGGTTAGATAAGACTGTGCCATCATTGAATGTGTCTTGTTAATTGATACCGAACCTTAATTTACCTTATCAAGATTTTCATAACGTTAAACGTAATTTATTAATTTTCCCGGAGATGGTGATATTGTGGATAATTGATTTCTGGCACGCCATCGACTAATTTAAGTATTCCTACTTTGAAACAGACAGTTAATAAAAGTGGTACTCGCAAGGCAATTATATACTAGTTAGTTAATTGAAGTAATGAAACAGTGTTAACAGGACAACATTAATTGATAGGATGTTTGCAGTAAGACGACGAGGATCCTTTTTTTAAATAATTGCCTGCAATCGACACAATATGTAATGCTTATAGTAAGACGAACAAACGTTGATTTGAACTCACTTGGGATTTAGTCCATGTATTTCAGTTTTTTCAATTCCCGCAAAAAATTATTCACAATTGGATTTATTTAATAGAGAAGGGTATCTATGCTCCGAAAATTAAGTCGCATTGGCATAAGGTGGACAGAGAAACGAGATGCAAATACGTGCACATATTAGCAAAGTGAAGAAATACACGCCTCAGAAGAGAAGAAATAACGGGAAAGTAGTTAGGAAGATCAACATAATAATCGCCGCAGAGAAAAACAAGAGTTATAGAGCTCATTAATATAAGAGCGGCAGAGCATTAAACATGAGAAGTCAGTTTGCCTCTTTGAATACTGAAAGCCAAACAGAAGATCCAGTTGGATCATTCGGAGTTAAAGTTTTGAAACATTTTTATATGAATGTATGAATCTGAGCTGGTTCTTATTGATGCTGGCAGCGATAATGTGGATAAGAAGAAGTTGATGCCTATCACTGTAAAAGTGTATGTACAAATATGCACATTTCTCTTCTAAATAGTGACAAAGATCCAGAAGAAGTTGTAATGCAAACTCTTAAAGTTCAGAACACTAATTTATTAACTAATCCAAGTGCTGCTCTAGAAGATTACCATGAAACACCTTAGATAATTTTAATGAACTTGCAAAAATAGCCAGAGAGAAGCTGAGACAGTTCACTTAAGTTTATCAGTAGCACAGCTAACAAATAGTTCGGGTAACAGAAGCTACATTTTTTTATTAAAAACGCATAAAATAACAGTAAGTAAAACTTTCAACATCGTTTCGGTTTCAAGTATTTTTACAGGTGTTGCTTAGGAGTTGCATATAATTCAATAGCAAGCGCAATTTTTTTCAGCTGAATAAAAATATGACAAAAATACGAATCTAAACTTCGGACGCTAAAAAATGTTAAGACCATGTTGCAGTGTTTGAGTTTCCAGAGATTTTTACCAGATATTGCACTTAAAAAATGCCAAATTTAACACTAATAAAAAGCGCATTCTATGCGTTCAAACTTAGGACAAACAAACTCATTGTCAATGATGTCGCGAATGAATCGGAAACAGATGAAAACTTTTCTAATGACCAACTTGACACTGTGAGCAATAAAATCAAACTTGGAAATAAAACCCCGTATTTTCTTAAAAATCAAAATTAAAGGAAAAGTTTTCCAAGGATAAAAAAGGTGGAATTTGGTCGACAAATCCCACTTAGTTAAATATGTGGTTACTTAAATAACCACATATTTAACTAAACTTGGTTAATTTTTTAAAAATTAATTTAACTAAACTAACTAAATATGGTTAAATTTTTCATTAAACCAAAATACACATCTAAATTACGAAAAAACCTGTTGAATATTTAGGTGTTTTCAAAATTATTTACATTGTTGATCTACACAATTGCATTTTCAGTCACCTGGTGATACAAGCATTTGATTTAATAAGATTTGGCATCACAAAACTGCATCAATTTTTCATGGATAGTAGAAGATCGTTTCATCAGTTACACTAAGTAATAATTTAGCAAATGAGTTGGTAAATCGCAGTTCAAATCCGAGACAATCCGCAACAAATTGGTGGGCTCAAAATGCAGCCAAAACGGATAAAAAGGCTTAATAAAAAATAAATAACTCCCATTTGTCAACTGGACATTACGAGCAAAATCCATACGGTCATTTTGCAATGTACCTGTATTAAAGATTTTTCCGCATCGGGCGTTGCAAATCAATTAAATTGGCGTTTTCGAATTTGGATCCGACGTTTTCCATCAAACGTTATCTGGAAACTCATTTATTTACACTGGGCATGTTTTATATTTTAAACAAACCAAAAATCAATTTGCGATCGGAGCGCCAAATAAATGATTCCGGCTAATTTCCTACAGTGGGATGTCAGTTCGAAAATGCAACTATCATTTGCCAATTTTTTACGGCGGAAATAGTCGGCCCCTAAACATTTGGTAGCAATTCATTCATTAAACTATAAACCATCGACTATGTAAAATGGTTAAACATAAATTTGAAATTCGATTGCTAAACAGAATGGTGCCAAAAAAAAGATGAGGTTTTGAAGAAAATAATATTTTAAAAAATGGAACTAATTTTTGTAATTAATTAATGAGGGCTGTTTACAAGCAATTTCTTTGACCAATTGAGGCCAAAGAAGAAGCAAATGTCTTGCTTCTTGTTTGGCTGCCACTACATAAATTATTTAATATCCTGACATTTGAAGGATTATTACCTACTCAAAAACCAATCGAAAAGTGTTCCGAAATTTAAAATTCAATATAATTATTTCAAGAACAATACGATTTCTTGTATAGACACAACTGCTTAAGAATAATAACATAATAAAAACGCTACTAACCCAACAATTCTTACAATAATGCATATCCTCTATAGTCTCGAAAAACTGACGTTACTGTTTCACTTGATAAACTTATAATAAAACCTCTGAGTAATAAATTCTCTGAAAACAAAATATGAAAGCAAACCAGGCAAAAAATAATAAATCTACATGTTTGATAATCGGCATTGCCATATGGAAACATTGAAATCACAGAAAGATTCTTTCGCAATGTAACTTTTCAAGTTGAGTAACATTTCCGTTTAATCCGAGTATCAAAGGTCATAACTTTTATTCGCCGAGCTTTTCAAACGAGCTAAAGGTTCGTTTTGTGTCTTTTTATTTGTTTTAAATAGCTCGGTAAAACGGAATGAAAAAATTGGAAAAATAATTTCCATCCCGTTCAACAGGTGTAGGTAGGTTATTTTTGATAACCGGTGCGGTTATTTTTTATGCAAAGCACTGGATATTGTGGAAAAAGCTATTCACACGTGCCCTTTTTAATGCGGGGTGGACGCTTTAAAAGCTATATTTTTTAGGTTTATACATATAGTGTGAATTATTTTAGAGCTATTTAAAGAATAATTTCTTCAATGTGGGCAAATAAATTGAATTAAATATATGAAGAGGTTTATTTGTTAAATGGAAATTTCTAATATGCGTTAGTTTTCCTTTAATAACGCAGGATTCTGAAGGACATTTCATTAAAATATAATCGAGAAATTACAGGATAAGCTCAAATTAATTAAAAAATATAAACTTATGAACAATACTATTCCAGTTTAATCTTCTAATGTTATTTCTTCAATTTCCTTCTTGCACTAATTTATTGTTAACAATTCAATCGGGTATTATGTATTTCCGAATTCCCTATCAGTACCGGTAATACATTAAAAAAAAATGTTCACGACTTGAAAAAATATGAAGCACTTATTTTAATGACGCATAATTGAAACCGTACTGAAACTTTTGTAATTAATGAAGTCGACGAAAAAAAAAGGAAAAAGTGAAACTTTTAGCCCAGGCAAAACAAATAATTTGTTAAAATACACCGTAATCTGATTAAACCGGCTTAGAGTCGCAATGTCAAAGTAGAATGATGAATTGTTCCTCGACTTTAATGTTCTTTATATAACAAAATTGTTTCATGATTTATGGGATTTTAAAGAAATAATGTAGAACATGGGGGTTTGGCGATAGCTTATAGGTGGGTAAATACGGTGTTCTAATTTCGGGTTTGAGGCTGAACTGAGCGTGCAAGGTTAGTTCAAAGAACTAACGAGGGACTGGAAAATTACTTTAAAATACACCTCTTATTATTAACCAACACAACAATTTATGCTTGGAGCCAAATGATTTTCCAACGACTTTTTTACTGTTAGCCAAATATAAAACCGTCTGCACGTAAAAATATAACAGTTTTAAACGAGAGCAGCCCAAACAACACTGAAAGTCAATGTTTATATTTACGGAAAAGTTTGCAATAAGCCACCGACAAACATTTGTTTGCTGCAAAGTACCAATTTTTACAACGGCGCTTTCAAACAAAATTCAATTAGCAATATAGCAAACTACAACTTTTTTAATACGAATTTTCAGAGTTAAGCATTGTTTCAACATGATTATATAATAAAGGTGAATTTTTTAATGAAACTGCCACATCAGTTTCAGCATTTGACTGTGTGTTTTCTTAAGATTCGGAATGGAAGCCGTTGTATTTATTTAATACTTATTTATAGATCAACTGGCCGATTGTCCATTAAAAAAAATCCTTTAAACCTGTTCATACAGAGCATACGCCGAGGTTTCCGATACTTCGTATACGAATTATATTAGTCTATTATATTCAATTCTTTTCACATCTGCTGAATTTCAATGTTTTATGAAATACCGGATTATGCGTATCTGCTCAAGAGTGAATTACATTTTTGCAACCAGCGAACATGGTAATTTATTAATTAGCAACTTGGTTTGAACCGGGAGAAGTTGCTAGTTGTGGCAAAACTATTTTCCTTTAAATTTGTGCCTATATTTTAAGAATATATATTTGGTGTTGTGAACTTTTTTGTGTTATAAATGAAAATCTTTTGATAATGAGATTGTGGTCTGACGTTAATTATACTAGAAAGGCGAAAAGTCATCATATTTTAAATGCGGATCGGAACGTGGATTTCTTAGCTTAAAAAAACAAAACAACAGTTTTAAAAACATATGTTTACAAATTCAGCCAAGATTACTTGGACATGATTTACTCTGATATGCAACGGGTTGTTTTTCATATAATCCATCGTTAAGGCAATTTGAAAAAAGCTTTAAACGCTTATTAATTTATTAGCTTTCATAATTTTTTTAACCAGCTAATACTACTTCAAGCGGTTAATTAAACTTTCTATATTTCGTGGTCTAGTGAGAATTCAGGAACAATGAAAATAATAACTTATGCCTAAAATTTGCCATATAATTCATTAATATTAGATAATAGGCAACTTTCAAATTACCAATACAACTTTTCTTTTGTATATAATACAATTATTCTGTATGTAGTGCAGAAAAAAATACTATTCCAAACTAAAAAATAGTGAAAATTCTTGAGCGAAGTAAAAAGTAGCAAAAGTTCCGTTCCGAAAAATAATATTTGTTATTTCTTGACAAAACTACTTCAACTTGTTTAGTACACGTTGCCATTACAAATTGCAATTTGGAGTTGACAGAATTCGCGAAGGAAAAAATAATAAATCAAATTTATAATAAACTTGTAAAATTCCTTAACTCCAGTCTTACAAAAATTATTAATCGACGTAATTTTGTGGATTATTTGCTTAGAACAAGGCAGTTAATCACGCACCAGTGATCACGCTAGTTGAAAGTTAGATTACTTTCCCTAATTACCCTTAGGGCTCTTTAAAGTTTTCCGGTATGATTAATGCAAATATTCTATGCAATCCTTTGATTAGTTCAGTAGATACTTATTGATCTCCATTCAAATCAATAAGTTGTAAACAAATAAATACCGTATTTTTTGCAATTTTCGGGAGGATAAAATGGAAACTACCACATATTTTGAACAGTTTCGAAAACTTATGACTAAGTTATGTGAGCCTTAATATAAATACCTGCCAACTGCACACAGTGAATGTTTTTTAATTAACTTTTTATATTCCCTATGGAGTCCGTTACGAAGTCAGTAAAATACATAAAGAGGGAAATGGCATGATAAAAAAAAACGCGGCGCGGAAATTACGAGCTATTCGAAAGCCTTTAAAAAGGTCAGATAAACGTATCAGTAAACTTGTGACTAAAATGAGTTTAAAGTAGATATAACATATTCCTTTGATGTCGGCCTCAAAAGTTATTTCATCTTGCTAAAGGATCTGAAATGACCAACGGCACTTTTTCAACCTTTGAGTTTGGATTTTAGCATGCCCACAAAAAGAATAAACGAGAAAGGTTAAACTCTATTTATACAGTAATAATAGAGGCTTCTAGACTGACATGTTTGGGCTTTGGTTTGTAATACAAAGGCGACCAAATTGATTTAGGGAATAATGTCCCTCATTATGATGCTTAGGTGGCACTAAACCTCATATTTAAAAGCATACATTTCCATTATTAAAATGCTCCTACTAAAACTAAATTTAAAAAAATCACGACAAAGAAAGATTATCAGATTCTTAGTGACTTAAATGTTTAGTTCAACAATTTTGCTCCTTTTTATAAAACTATAAAATATTAAAAGTTTTATGTTCCACCAGGTTGTTGTTAACTGATTTCCAAAGTGAAATATTTCTGTGATTTCAAAGGCTAGATTTATCTTGCAATCGACAAAAAGACGACGATAATATTACGTTCCAGTTTTTCGATCGAAAGTTTCAGAGCAGAAGTGAACATTACAGTGTCAGCTTTAAGCTGAAGCTAAGAGAGTTTTCTTGTAAACTTGTCTAGTAAAAACTTAGTGTCGACGCCTTTCAAGCTAATATTATTTTGGATATAAGTATATTGAGTAAAGAAAACGGGTCATATTTTAATAGTGAGACGAGAGACAGAAAAACAGATTTTAGGCTCATTACTTATAGCGGCTGGAAATATGGCGTTATAAATTAGAAATTTTACATGTTGGATTTTAACGCTGAACATGCAATATGTGCACTATTGCTGCAACAGTAATAAAGTGAGATTCTCGTTTTAAAAATGTTCAAAAACATATAACATTAAAATTGCGACTGCTCTCGGAGTCTAAATTTAAACTAACAAAAAAATGCACTTCACACCGGTTATATACATCAAGTAGTGTGGGAATTTGTATTGATTCCGCAAGTAGCACAAGAAACGTATTAAAATAGCAAAAGCAGGCAAATTGAATTGCAAAACGCGAATTTTTTCTTAAATTTGAATCAAACACATATTTTTAAACTCTGGTATCCGAACCCTCACAATTTGATTATGGGAAATGTAAAGGCTTGCCTTTAAGCATACGTGGAGGTAAGATTGAATGATAAAATGTAAAATATTAGAAAACAATGCAAAAAAGCCATTTGGAAACTTTGCAGAATCTGAAAATTAATACAATCACTTACCTTAACACACAAATATCACATATATTTTTTTCTCAAGATAGATAGGAGGAATCTTTTCAACTGTGTAATTAAAACAAGATAAGGCCGTGCTCGCTCTTTATTGTCATTCGTTCTTGGGTCGTAACGAAATACAGGGCGGATAATGTGCCTGCATTTTTTTAAATTTAACAATATATGTTATTTTCGCCAAAGCTTTGATTCCATCGTGTCTATCTTGAGAAAACATAAACGAAATAGGAGTAAATAGCGTGGAAAATATTGCTTGGTAATAATGTTCCAGATTATTATATTTACAAATGTAAGTTGCTGGTTCCATTCTGCTTTAAAAAAAAAATCAGAGAATAATTGATTGAATCAATAGCGTCGATTCCTTCCATGATAATGCTAATCCCAACAGAATATTGAATATACATTCGTGACTCAATTAAAATATCGAACCACAAACTAAAAAATTGCTTTCTCACGTAATTAGTATTTTAATTAAGCAAGAAACATTTTGGATAGTTTGTGGTTTAATTAAAACGATGGTCACCTTGGGAGTTCGACAGTAAGAACAGGGTATGAACATTTCAACGGAACCGCAACTTACGTGTTAAATATTGGATGTAAGGAGAACCGGAATAGTTTCCTGGAACTGAAGAAAATTCCGGTTAAACACAATGTTAGGCATGCATTCGAGATTCTAAAAACCAACGGAGGCCGACAACATTGCGATTTTCCATGTAGCTTTCCAAAGCATATTTATCCAATATCAACCCACACTTCCCAGAAGGACATCCGCTGAAAGTTTTTTTTTTACTTTCTTTATTATGTTTTGTCATACTTTTACTTCTGGAAGTTTTTTTAATAACAGGAACTCCTGCGAATGCTATATTTCAGGTACATCTGCCAATACCTGCTGACAGTAGGAAATAATCTCTTCTCAGCGCATAAAAACGACCATATTCATATATGATTTCATAGCAAGGTTGATCTCTTGAATAATATAAAGAAATATTACTTTATTTTGTAGTAGTGAAATTCAGTATCATCCTCCTGAGCAATACTACATGTATATCGGACTTTAGTCTTCGATTAATTAATTCCTAAAGACCGAAGATGTGTGATTTAGACGCGAGTTTGGGTGTCGCCTGAAAATAATTTTATTAATAAACATATTTATAAAAACACATTTATTTCTTCAAGATCCAGACTCTCTAAATATTATTTTGTAATATACTATAATAATATAACGAAACGAAAATTTCGATTACATAAAAAGTAAAGAAATATGAAATTCAAATTCCGAGTTTAATCCACGATTTAACTTTTAGCACTCCCACAGATTATTTGTTTCAAATTCGTTGCGGCTTAAAACATTCGAAAATGAGAAAAAACGGTCACAGGAAAAGTCAAAAATAAAGGCAATTTGAGAAAGTGATGAAACGTTGGAAATAAGCAAAAACATAATCTAAATGTAAATAGGATTATGTAAAAAAAATTATTTTCTAAGGGCGTGAATACCGACCAACACTGTCTTATAAAAATAAAGCTTGGGGGCGAAATCCATCAGAAAATGTAATTTCAATTAAAACGAGAGAATGAATGGCGAAGAACTTGAGGCCTCCATCAAATAATTAATTATTCCTTGGGAATTTGTGAACTTCGGCTACTTTACTTCGCGAAACAGATACCCATGTGCCTAAATTGTTCTTTATTTCACAATTATTATTATCCCGAACAGCTCACATTGCAACTAATTAATTTTTGTTTAATACACTATTGTTTCAGGAAAATTCACAGTATAAAATGGACTGTATTTGGTCTTTAGTTAGTTTGATAGTGAAATCATATTTTTTCCCTTTGTTGCCAACACGAATGGAACACTTGAATGAATGAATGAAACAGATGCTTTTGCTATTGGAGGAATGATGACGATTAACGACAAAAGTTGAGGGTTAAAAATAATAGCAACGCAATGAATGCTTAGAACGATAAAACCGTTTTTGTAACTTTGAAGACGTCTTAAAGAGATGCACACTGAGTAAGGCGCAATAAAATTTGATATCAAAAAGTAATTAAAAATCAAGAAGTATGTTAAAATATAATAATTATGCGGAAAGGTTTTGTTGCTGGTTAGAATGTGTTCGCACGTCTAAATAAGGGCTGAAACCAGGAAGGTTCAACTACCCAAATGGTTGGCCTGCGAGAAAACCCAACTTGGAAATAAACTTGTACCTTTCTCTATGAATTTAATGATTGTTAATTGATACAAAGTTCAATTGATGCTTCTTCGACAATTTTCGAAACCAATGATATAAAAATACATATGTTCGTTTTCAAACGCGTCGATTAATACGAAATATTAATACGGAGTACAGTAGAATTTCGTTATCGTCAAAAATAAATTAAAAATTGAATTTACACACATTTAAAATAACGCATTATAGTCGGTTTCTTTGAAGAAACACAGTATAACAAAGGAAATGGCAACCGGTTTTTATTGAACCGGAACATTGACCTTCAAACAGCCATGACCGAAACCATTTGAATATGCCCCATGAGAATTATTTAAATATAAGAAGGATTTAATAATATACTTTAAAACTACTTAAGCACAAAAAAGGCATATTTAAATGCGAATCGGGATAATGAAAGTAAGTCATGATCATGCAACACTCTAATGAATATTAAAAGATTCATTAAGTCTTTCTCATTTCTGTATTTGCGTATCAGCAAAATAAATATTAAAACGATGATTAAAGACGTGTCCTACCGCAGTAGCTATGCAGAGTAGGATTTATCAGAAACATGCTAAAATTTATAAAGTTATTAATGATAACAATTATTTGGCACATTGGCGCCCAATCACCATTGGCTCACAAACACATTTCAACTCTATGCTGCAAAAAGAAATCAACGCTCTTGAAAATAAGGGGCGGTTTTAACATGCACCCCCACCCCAGTTGTCTCCACTTCAGTCCCAAAAAATCTAAATTTTAGGCACACATTAAATTTCTGACAAATTTGAAGCGCTTGCTTCCGTACTGAATAAGTTTTAAGTTTCAAGTTCAAGTAATTAAAACTGTAAAGGTCACATCCGGTCACACTGTCGAAATTAGTGAGGACTCTAAGGAAAAACAGACATTCCATCGTGAATCCATTACAGATTTCCATCAGTCCGTTACATCCGTTTGTTCAGCGTCCGTCGCATTGTCAAGGCGCTTACTGCCCCAAGATTCCCATTAATCTTGTAGGACTACTCACGGCTAGACAGCTTTGCTGATGCCGTAATTTGTGTCTCTTCGGATTTATATCTTTTTCTTCGGCCTCGTTCCTCTGACCCATCCAACATTTGACTGGCAGAGCTAAAAATGTTTTTCCGGCTTTGTTTCCGTTTCAAACCTTCCAACGTTTCAATATTTATTTTTTCCATTCCGGGGATTGAAATCTTTACAAGAGGGATCTGCGATATCTGGATGTCTTTCCGTCAATCATGTGATATGAAGATTAATGCACCAATTTGTACGAAAAGTTCAGTTTGAAAGATGTATTTATTAATGTAATTTTAATGTGTGAGCATTAAAGCTGTTTTGCTATAACACTTGAAAATGTCTCATACATAAAATGTTAGCATTAGTGCAACAAGTTTAATTAGGTTTAAATTAAACATTTTTAAGTGAATAGATTTGTAGTCCGTCCAAATAAGGTGGTAATGTTTATTATGATTTCTCAACCTTCTAATCTCAAGCTCTATGAAGTTTATGTACATAACAATTGTTTCAGCAAGCAGAACATAATATTTAAGCGCGTGTCTTCAAGCTGCAATATACTTGCAAATTACAGGAACTGGGTGTGTACACACTGGACAAAATGAATTACCAAACAGTGTATTAAAGTGTGTAATTTCTGCCTTTATAAGTTAAAACAAGAAATTCCACACTTTAATGGACGAGCTGTTAATTCATGTAATACCTATATTTAATAACAATAACAGGCACTTCAATTTCCTTTAATTGTGGCATTGTGGGAATAATAAAAATATCAGACTTTTCCTAAGCGCATTTTCCTTCGATACTCAGAGGCTTTTAAGAATTGAAAATCATCAAATTTTTATTTTTTAATAATTTTTCAAGAATTATAAAAATTAAATGTGTCGAATAACAATGAACTTAAATCTGGATCAGGTTTCGACTTCCCTCCGTCGTCATAAAAAATGTCGCCCATCTCAATTTAAAGAGTTGTTCAGAAAATTGTATCATCATTCTTCTATTCGAGAATATTTGGTTTCCGGCTCATATTTTAACAAAGGTATCATAAATCTGTTTGGGACGATCCCATTCATCACGCTTCAAGGAAAATGATATAGGAGGAAATTTTAGAGTCCATCAAAAGCGACTAGCAGCGAGCACGGGAAAAGTGAATATCTGAATAGCATTATGAACATTACCTTTCATACAGTCTGCCTACAATTAGAGGCATTTGTATTCGCGAAATATGTCAAATGCTTTTTCAAAAAGCGGCACCAATTCCTTCCACATAAGAGCCTTAATTGAGGAAAATATATGGATCTCATTAGCTTCCCATGCCAACTTGTAATAATCATAAATAAGTAAATGTACCGTGTAATTATATTGGTAGTCATTTCGAAAAAGGGTTCGTCGAAGAGGAGGATTTTGGCTTACACCAGGATACTCGTGTATCCTTGTTGAATAAATAATTTTAAATATAACTAATTAGATGAGTTTTCTTTCGTTCTAGTTCAACACGCGTCTCATATACGGTGATATCAACAGATACAGAGAAACTTAACTAATGCATATCGAATATAAAAATAAACAACACGAATTCTTCTAATTACTTAACATCTTAATGACGAATCTAGGCAAAATTGATAAATATGGAATTGCGACCGACGCAGCAAGACTCCACAAGCTGAAAGTTGAATAACATTAAATGAAAAAGTTAACAGAAGGACAAATTACTTGTTAAAAAACTTATGGCTTTATGTAATCATATTTATACAAGTCCCAATCAACATAGAGAAAAAGACGATTACTGATATAAAAATAGTAAATGATAAATTTGCAACACACACACCGGTGAACTACAGACAATAGAAATAGACCAAATAGATGAAAACTTAGAAAAATAGGCCAATATTTAACAATATTATGAATAAAATTCTAAAAACAGCAGCGATGCAAAGTTTTTTGTTCGAATTAAATATCATGTTTAACAAATTAAACCGAGTCACACAATTTATCTTCGGATATTCGGTAGGAGGCGAATATTTTAGCCCGACATCATAAATCCATGTAGGACGAACACGTTCATCATGATACACGAAAAATCCCAGTAATTTCAACGTCCAGCAAGCAAGCATGGTAATATAATAGATATTTGAAACCTATTTTTCTACTAGGCAAAATAAATTACGGCCATTAAAGCCAGCAATTTTCACGTGCTAGTTGGCAATTTTTGATTTCAAATAAATTAAAAGTGTACACAAGTACACATTGTTTTCAGTTAGTTATTATTAAAATATTTCGTATATGCAGAAATTATTATTGTGCACAAATTCGTCGTGCTGAAATTGTACAATATAAATATGTATAAAAATAAATACGTTTTTGTAAAACTGAACACAGTTTA